TTCGGTTAATTGGTGAGCAGTCCGCCAAATTAAATTTACCAGCATGAAAAGATAAACACACTGAAACGTGACTCGCTTATCAAAAACTTGCCATTCTTTAATTTTTTTAGATGAGCACGGAAAATTTGTCATTCTGATACAATCTATTATAAAAGTAGCTTTTCTACGAGGCCCACTGGAAAAGAAGGACTGGACCCTGGACTGGACCCTGGACTGAACCCTGGACTGGACTTTGGACTGGACTTTATTAAACGAAGTTAATATTTAACTAATAATATTACGATTAACCATTTCTATTTAATTATTTAAACAACGTGAACTGATTGCTCTTCTTGATTGTTTCTTTTATAAACGGATTTCATTTATAACTATAGAATTATTTTTTGTTTACTTTATCCAATTGTTATCATTTACCGTTGAGTTGTTTTTCCGGTGGAAATTGAGTCCGGAAATGTGTGTAAAAAATTGGTTGTCACGCTATTGTGTTTACATTGTTCACCTGAAGTCAATTAGCGTGACACAATCAAACACAAACACGGAAACACGCACTCTTTTGATTTCAGCCGCTTAACCGATCATTGGAAAAACTCTGCCCAACTTCAAACCAATACTTTACTTTGCCATTTTGCTTCCTTAAGACTTAGAAGCGACCTAGCGACCTAGAATCTCTTCCTAAAGACTTAGAAGCGGCCTAATTCACATTGCGTTCTAACCATTGGAATCGTCACGGCCGTGGAATTGCGAAGAAAAGAAATTTTTTCGCCAGGTCAGCGACGTGTACGCACTCTCTACTTCATGATATTCCGTTTCAGAGCCACATTGAGAATGTTAGGTGTTTTGCCTTTTCATATGAGCAGAAGAGAGGGATTTTTTTTTTAAAAAATGAAGAATTTACGTAATGCAATGTGCCTGCCTCTACGTTCTGCATGGGCTTATGATATGAGAACCTGAACCGGAAGCATGTCTTAAAATAACGCCCCCTTAGGTGTGAACATTTCGGTTCTTTCATAAACGTTACAAATTATAGGAATTGTGATTTGCTGCTATTTTTTTGGACTATACAAGCATTGCTTTTCTTTACATGTGTATCTTAACTTCATCGCGTTAATTCTAACATTTACTAAGCGGGAACTTTCGGTTAGGGTCAACTTCCGTCCACGCATAACTTCCGTCCACATCTGCACCATTACAATAACTCATTCATTTTATCGCATGCGCGCCATGAATGAGCTAAAACGGTTTATTAGAAATTAACGACGGCATTACGCCAGCCCTACACAGCAGTTAAGGCGAGGTTAACCTAAAATTCTGAAAAAAAATTCGAAGTTTTGTTTTTATCGGAATTTGAATTTTAAGGTATTGAAGGTTGTTTTGAGAATTTCTGTTACTGTAAGTTCAAAGTTTTTTTCTCAAAAAGAGTTATTTTTGCCTTTGAGAAAGGATATTTTGAGGAGGATTTGCCCAATTGACCTGAAATTTTCAGGATTTGTTGTTCTGAGTAAATTTGGTGTTTTAAAGAGAGAACTTTTCCATCCAGTGCATTTTGTCAAAGTTATACATTGAAGCGTATCCTGGATTTTCTGTATCAGATTTAACTGGTCACCATTCACTGAACGCCGGCGAACTCGTGTTTCTCTTGTTTATTTCCAGGGCTCCCTGTGCAATGATTTCTGCGTGGTGCAATGGTGCGGTGCCTGTGTGATG